ATTTACTTCCTTACTGTACATCATTTTAATGCCACACAATGTTATCTATTTGTGTTATACCCAAGTTTCGAATGGGCAAAGAAATTAACACAAAGCTGTCAGGTTAGCTAAACTCCTTTCCTATATAAGCACACACACACACACACACAGTCACATATCTGATGCATTTGTTGGGCTCTCTGTTTGCTTCTCTAATTTGCCACTGAGATTACAAACGTTCGTTCGCTCCGAGTGGCCTATTATCAGCTCTACCTATGTATGTATGTATGTATACATATAGATACATATGTGTGTGTGTGTATATATATAAATCTGAACTACATTTTGCTCGATTTGAAATCTCGCACATTTATACGTAAAAGCAACAACAATTTGTAGACGATGAAGGCAACTACAAATTAACGTACAAATGAATGACGGAATTAGTACGTGCTCTCTATCTATACGGGTCTATAGAGAAGGCCCCCGTCAATACACACACACACACACACATACACACGGAAAGAGATCTTAAAGGGAACAGTTGAGTTGATGCTGCACTTATTAGATCAATCAGTTTATATACCCGCTTTAGATCTTCACAGTCCAGTTTTGTATTGGCCTAATTCATTAGCGCTGCTCTAATGAATTAATAACACCAAACTACGAGAAGCGCGTTTTGTTCATAGTTTTTCCATTTTTTAGCACATATGTTTTTTTCAAAGCATATTTCAAATGACATTGCATCAGCTTTTAGAATCGAATCTATAGCACTTGAGTGCTGTTCAAAGTATCTCGTTTCGACATTTTATTGCTGTTCAATTATTTCTTCATTAGGGATCGAAAGTAATTTTTGTATTTTATGACTATTTAATATGGAAACGAAATGATTTCCTAATGCTTAAAGTACAGAGCAGAATACACTGAGCCAAAAAAAAACCTGAGCGAATAGAATCATTTTTATGGTTTAAAATATTTTAGCAAAGGCATGCGAAAGAGTATAAACTCCCATGATATTATGAAATATTAAATACAATATACATACATAACTGTATAATAATAGGAGATAATGAAAAACTCAGCTTAATGATATTTCTGATGAGAAATAATTACAAGTTTCGACTAGGGGCGTGACTTTTGTATGCATAACTCAACTGAATTATTAATGCTTGAGGCTCTATCTATATGTCTGTCCTGTTTCGGGCCACGCCTTTTACACACAAAATACGCCCTAATTGTAAGGCAAACAAAAGCAATTTTCAATTTCCTTAAGGAAAATGCCAAAAGCACAAAAGTTTGAGCAACATTTATAATACTAGTTGCACTACAAATACAAATACAAACAAAACACACAAATACATGTACACATATGTATGTATGCACACCCTGTAGAGCACGTCACGTGCACTAAAAAACGCTTCTAGTGAAAGGCAAACAAAAACACGCACGACTTAGGCTGTCAAATAAAGCAAAGGCAGAAGCAGCGACAGAAGCAGAGGCAGAGGCAGCAACAGATGCAGCAGAAGAGACAGAAGCAAAAGCAGTAGCAAAGGGCAAAGGCAACGTCATTGGCAGAGGCAGCGACAGAGGCAGACTCAACTCCTATAAATCACACCAACGAAACGACATCCCGTTCGTCCTCTCTTCAGTGTGCTCTTTGCGCTGCTCTACTCGGCTCTCTTTGTACACAGCCACCTCTAGCTTATTCACTCCCACTTGCGATCATTTATAAACTTCAGCGTGTCTGTTTTGGGCTGTCAGCCGCAAGGACAGCGCGCTGCTTAAAGCGTTTGCAGTGCACAGGAAATGCCGCTAAACAAGGCACGCACACGCATACACTCCTCTCTTGCTCTCTCACTCCCACCGATACACTCACTGGCCGCCGCCTTGGCTGCGTTTTTATTGACCTCCAAGTTGCGGGTAAAATGAAAAATGAAAAAAAAAAACGAAAGAAACAATAGAAAAACACGCGAATTTGATTGAGCTTTTAGTTCCACCTACCTACCACCCAATGCCCCACCCCTTTGCCTATTTAATGGGCCATAGCTTTGGCTGCCTTCTTTATTTTTTATGGCCAGTCCGTTAATTGAATTAATTTTTTTTGTGTCTTTATCAAACGGCGAACAGAATTCATATCTATTGAATATTTCTGTCTATAACTGTATGCGCGCGTGTGTCTGCCTGTCTGCCTGTCTGTGTGTGTGTGAAATGTAAATTCAATTAATATCTTGCGTGTGACAGTTTATTCTGCGTGTGCTAAGGCGCTCGAATGGGCGCGTCAGCGCCTCC